AACGAGCACCGAATGACGGGAAGGGCCAACAACCAATGACCACGTCCAAAATTTGAATCGACGCGCATGACAGGATGTTCTAATACATGGGCACGGCGTTTCCGGTTAGTCAAGTTCGATAACCCTAACGTCTACTCGCTGACTATCGCACCCGGTGACCAACGGGTTAATACGATTTGGCTAATAGCACGCGCTACCATTACTCACACTCGTGTGCACGTGTATGTTGATGGTGTCCTGGACGAGAGTTATCAATTTCCTTAATTAGTTTAATTGATCTAGGCCTAAATAGGTATAAACACCGTCCTTTTAATGAGTTTTAGCAAATTTATTAACTTGGTATCTAATTAGTTAAGACAGGCGTATGACCTGCTTACGAAATTCAATACCAGCACAGGAAGAAAAAAGAAAATAAAACAACGTGGCTGTTTTGGTTTACAGATTAGAGACAACATAAGCTAATAGTGTTTACAATAGCGTGCAGCATCACGTGACTGCTATTTATAGCAAAAATTGTTTTTAAATACACAGGGACTAGTTTTATCCGAGCGTATGTGGGCACAACTCTTAAGGAGGTTTGGAGTAATGAGATCTAGGTTTAAGGAAACTGACGGCATTGATACGATCCTGTAACAAAATTTTGATGCCTTTGGTAGGGAGCTATGCTAAGATGTTTGGGCAGTTTTTAGAGCACTTAACTGAGAAATGGTAGGGCGGTATACTGAGATATCTAGAAATGGTAGGGCGCTACATTAAGATCCCAGTGTAGCACACGATAAGTATCTAAACACCAGCCGGGAATTACCAAATGTCGAGGTCAATATGTATATATATATATATATATATATATATATATATATATATATATATATATATATATATATATATATATATATATATATATATATATATATATATATATATATATATATATATATATATATATATGTGTGTGTGTGTGTGTGTGTAATATTTTCTATCTATCAAATATGACCTCTACTTTCCCTAGAAATACACTAAAACTGCTGACGAAGGATTATCTAGTTTAAAGAAAGACATTAGCCAATCTCGATGATAGCTTACCGTACCCCGATAATTCGTGTTTACCCACATGCCTAGGAATGTTTTCCGTCCCGGAAGTAGAAAATTATAGTGTCTGCGGGGAAAAAGATAATCGCTGAATTCTGTTCTCTTCCAGACACGCTGAGACAGATCACAGAGAGCAGACAATAGCAGAGACAGATTACAGACATTCGGCTGGCTTGAGAAATGTTGCAATATACGAACCTCATTATAGATTGTTTTTATACATTGCACTGATTACAATGCAACCCTACATAGACGCATTTATATATATATATATATATATATATATATATATATATATATATATATATATATATATATATATATATATATATATATATATATATGGTTGTGTTTGAGTGTGTATGTAAAACAATAACGTTCTGAGATATATTTCAATCATCTAAACTTATAAAGAAATATGCAAATCTTTACTATATTTCTATGTGTTGTACGTAAACACCGTATATTTGTTTACAGAATATTAACCACAGCCAACCCCATAAAAATAGTTGAAAACATGATTCATGCCCCTGATATGTATTAAATTATAAGACTGAACAAAGCGATGCCCATCTTAGAATAATTCCCACACCCACCCACAAAAACAACTCTAGCAAAGACGGGCCGAGTAAGATTAGAATCACGTTATACAACCGTTGGGTGGGGTGGGGCGGGGGTGGGGGTAGTTTTAATACACATCTACAGAGGCTGTTCCGCCATCATGTTCTTTTAATACAGGAGCCGCGTGATAAAAAATAAATAGTTCAGACAAGATCGCAGATAAATCGTCTGCAGGGCCTACAGCGCGATCAAATCTAGCAAGAAATTGTGGCGCGCCCTTGCAAGAGAGCATCATCCGCGTCCAAAAAATAGTGCCGAGAAATCGGTGACTCTTCAGCGGTGCGTGACGTAATGGGGGGTCACGTGGAATTTGGTCACCGTGGTGACGTTTTTATGATTGTGTGTACATCATGGTGGAACACCCCTGGTGTGGTGAAACACCCTGTAACGATTTAGACAAACGTGGATTGACGTTATACTCAAATCCTACTTGGGAAATACAAACATTTTAAAAAGTCCAAAAAGTCCTATTTATACGCATTGTGAGCGATAAGCCATTGCATTCCTTCTCTAAAAATAATAAAGGCTAAAAAAAAAAAGACGAAAAGAAGAAGGAAATCAGCAAGGAGAAAACACAACTTGCCATTTAACAAACTTGAGTGGTGTTGTCTCCCATTGAGCCGGTAACACACAGGATTGCTCATCTTCTGCCCTTTAGAATTAAACCGCGGGGGGGGGGGGGGGGGTGGGTGGAGAAGGAAACAAACGAACTGTTCGGAACGTGCTGGCATTGTTTTCTTTTTGTATTTTATCTTGTACTGTCTTATCGCTGTTCTTCTCTAATATCAAGCATTAACCTTTATACACACACACACAAATATATATATATATATATATATATATATATATATATATATATATATATATATATATATATATATATATATATATGCCCAAATATATATATTATGTATAGGTAAATTAAATAGCAGTTTGATATACATGGTTGTGGTTATTGAAACGTAAGTGATGGAAGTCCCTAAATCATGAAAATGATTATGTAATTTAGGAGACTGTAATGACGTCAGTCATGTGACTAAATCATGTGACTTAACACCCCAAACGACAGACGAACAGATGCATTTCCCCGCACGTGTTCTGGAGATATAAAAGACATTTTTGTTCACGCGCCCACAAAATGTCCCCGGGGAGCGAAACAAATAAACAAACAGACAGACACCCACTCGATGAGCACATTTGCTCCAACAACCTTCTTCGGTCTAAGTCGCTTCTTTGCCAAGACCCCAGGGGGGGTGCCATTTCCGCGCCCCCTCCGGCCCGCCCCACACTCCAGATGTTTGACTATCCGACGTGAATACGAACACCAGTTGTCTGTCCTTCCCACAGCCAGATTTATCCTCTTTTTGTTTCGTTTTCAAGCCAAGTTGAAGGTTTTGTTTTTTAAACCTTAAATCCCATTTCCCATCTCTCCCTAACCCCCGGGGCAACAACAACCAGAACTTTCTCGAAGATTATTTCTGAGGTAAAATAAAAACGCCCCGCGCAGCTCTGTGGGGGATATAAAAAATTGTTCATCCCACCCATATCACTGGGCCAGTCCGACAGGGATGTAAACGCTTAGCTGTGGTGTTTATGGTGACGAGTGAAGAATAAACAAGCACAAATAGACGCGCTTGTAAATAAACCACGGTAAATATACGACGGTAAATAAACGCGCCTGTAAAGGGTGGGCATCACCTGGAGGTGTCAAACCTTCAGAAGGTTCCAGTAGCTTCTGCGTGTGTTGGCCGTGGTTTACCAGTCGATAGAAGTCTTGGGTTGTATTGTAGTCTGGTACTATACTGGTGTTTTAACACGTCAACTAGGGGAGATAATCTAGAGATTTCTGTGTTTTACCCACGGTAATTCTAATGGTTTGGTCTGATCTATAAATGCTTACCTCGCCTTGCGGCCAAGAAAATATCTATTAGGTTAATTTCGCAAAATAGAAAGTAATATTGTCGTGTACGTGTACAAATGAAGCTCTTTTATGCTAAATTAAGCTATAGATGTAAACTTGTGTTCATATTCCCAATGAATGTCCTAGGTGTGGTGTACCTAAATAATTCACACAATAAATCCAATTTTTATCAAATTGAGCAGTTATTTCAGCACCGAAGACAAGCCGAATATACAAGATCAAATTGGGATAACTGTATAAATATTTTTTTTTTGGATTAGACAAATCTAGACTTAGCTTCAGCTTTTGTCTAAACCCTAAAGCATCGAACATAGTTGTCTACATCGAGCATAGCTAAGCACACTCCATAAATCTTACTTCAAACGTTACCAAAATTTGATTTTAAAACGTCCGCCCAACAAGTTCATTTAAATCCGATACCAAGTAATTAAATGCTATTAAAATTCCCGACAGTTGTGTAAGGTTTATGACGTGTACTGTAACACAAAGTCTCCTAGCCAGAATTTTAAAAAACTTCCCGTCTTTCTATCAATAAATAAAAGCTAAATCCGCCATTCAGATGGAAACACAATATGGGATATTATTTAATCTCGTTCTAGTCGTTTGAAAAATAGCTTTCTGGGAGTCCCTTGGGTCGGGCATTCAGTTAATCGGCCCGAGGGTGGGGCACTCGCGTATAAAATACAATAATGGCGGTGGGTTGAGCGAATATGTTTTCGAGTCGCATATGATTAGATAAAAACCTGACTTTAGCTACAATAGCGGGCGAGTTATGGGCAACTTTTAAAAGGCGGTTAAGAAAAAAATTGGGTTCTTTAAATTTATGAGTTAGGCTATTGTGTTTTGTAACGTTTGCCGCTAGTCAAAGTAAGTTAAGGGAGAAAGGGGGTAATTCTATATACTGTAACGTTTTAAAAATTGAAGTTGCACCAAGTCAAAATGGAGAAATGTTACGAAATGTCCAGCGTTTAAGAAAATGTTGATCTCCGCCGTTTTAAGAGAAAATAGAATACTAATAACAAACAAACGTAGCTCTTATATGTTTGGAGAGAAAAACATAAAATTTGTTATTGAATACCCCCAAGCCATGAAGTCGATTTTTAGTTGTAAAAATTTCAATATTCTAGCTCACGTTCGATATCATGCATGATTTTAAAATCATCACTCGTGTCGATATCACCATCTGATGGTATCACCACACACCAACACATGATGGTATCACCACACACCAACACATGATAGTATTACCACAGGCTTATGTAATGGTATCTCCACTGGTAAAATCCCCACTTAGAAAAACTAACCACCCCACTTTCAGGACCTAAAACCAAACGTGCCCAGCCCACTTTAACGATCTAAAAAAACTGACCTGAGAAGGCATACGAGAAGATGTTGTTTAACTCCTTACACAGCTCCGGTTGTCCTGCAAGGACCAGCTTCTCCCAGGTGAGGACCTTGTCCTTCTTCTTCCCGGCGTAGTGGACCACGACACTGCTGACGTTCGTGTTGTCCCTGGACTGTGTCTGGACAGCCAGTACATCCGACAGGCTGATCTCCACTGTGGGCAGAGGTTAGGGACACGTCAGGGGAAGCAACAATATGTGTAAACGTTTTTAGAGTTACATGCACTTTATTGAGTTTCTTAAGGTGGATTTGAACATAGGCACAAACATCAGAATCTAGTAGTTAATTTACATGGATAGAATAGGTGCGGTGTTTGAGTGTTGGATATTGTTGTGATGTGATTTTAGGTGGTGGATCAATAATGATTATTCTCAATAGAATACACAGTCAATATGTAGTTTTTCTTTTTCTTTTTCCGTTTTGAATTACAACATATGTAGCATATAGCTTGTTGTAAAGAAAACAAAAAATGACATACGAACTTTGTGTTGTATTGAGTTGAATTATAAATCATTGTTGATTCTTCAACTATAACTCAAATGGCAAAATAATGTAAATATACAACGAACGATTAAATTGAACAGTTTCCTTTTTAACATCTTCAATACGAAGAGAAAATACTTTAACACAGTAAATTATACAACAGGGTTTTATTTTTTTTTAAATCGTCCAACGTATACAATTCAGAGAAAAATAACTAGTTATTAAAAACAATTTTATGTCGAGACATCGTTGTTATGCAGCGATGTTTTTTTAAACTCTTGTACCACGTAGATGACGGTTAATTGAGGCAGAAGAAGAAGATGAAAGAGGAAACAAAGCCGATTAGTCATAGCCGATGTTCCCCCCCCCCCCTTACACGGCAACCGGCATTCCGGCAACCGGCTTTCCGGCACGTAATTGGAGAACTTGCAGGAAAATCACAGCGTTTGGATGCTCCGCTGACCTTTGCGAGGAATTAGCATTTCTTGGAGTTGCTCGGTAAAGGCAAGATAACTCTATCGATAGACCACGATATAACAATTTGCCCCCACCCCTCCCGTCTGTGTCCCCCACCCTACCCCCACCCTCCCGTCCGGCTATACGAAGAATAATCGATCTGGTTTTTTTGGTTAATGGAGTTAGTGCAAGTGTTGGTGGAGAATGGGTTGGCGTGGTAGGTTGGCGGGCTGGGTTGGTGTATTGGTTCGGTGGGTTGGATTGGTGGGTTCGTTGGTGTGCTTTTGGTTGGCGTGTTGGGTTGGTTGGTGTGCTAGGTTGGTTGGAGTGTTGGGTTGGTTTGTTGGGTTGGTGTGTCGGGTTGGTGTGCTGGGTTGGGCTGGTGTATTGGTTCGGTGGGTTGTATGGGTGGGTTCGTTGGTGTGCTGGGTTGGTTGGCGTGTTGGGTTGGCTTGTTGGGTTGGGTGGTCGGGTTGGCGAGCTGGGTTGGTGTATTGGTTCGGTGGGTTGAATTGGTGGGTTCGTTGGTGTGCTGGGTTGGTGGAGATTGGGTTAGCTTGGTTGGTGTGTTGGTTAGCGTGTTGGGTTGGTTGGTGTGTTTAATTTAGTATATGTTAAATGCTGGGTTGGCGGGGTGGCGGGTTGGCATACTGAGTTTGTATGGTGGATTCTGTGTTGGGTTGGGTGTGGCTCATGTACGCGCGTTGGTGTATGGTGAATTGCTTATCAACAAAAAACCGTTAGGTCTTTTTTGCTAAATATCTTAAGGCTGAATACTACCGCATTACAATGCAATACATATTTAAACGCTTATGTATATTTCCTACCCTCACCCCACTTCATCCCCAACCACATACCCTTTTAAAGAATATTCCTGTAGCGAAAAAAAAAACGTCATTAAAATTAATTAAGGATTATAAAGTAAAGTAGTTTTAGCCCGCGGCGTAGGGTGAGCGGATGATTGTGTGTAAAAATATAGTCCATTAGCTGGACGAGAGTGGGCAACAAACAAAAATATTTTATATCAACAACATTTCTCTTATTTCAACATTTGTTGCATAATAATAAAAATATATATTTTACAGTAAGAAATATAGGGTTTTAAAATACATATTTTTTTTAAAAAGCTCTTGAAAGCTATTTAACTTAAATTAAAGAAAAAAATTAATGAAATTTGTTATGAGAAAAAATAAGGAAAGAAAACGTAAAGCAGTTTATTGGCCATGGTTGTTTTAGCTAACACCCACAGCTAGCTTAAACTATTCAAATATTTATCAATTATCATTAAATTCAAGGGTCAAGATGGCTTCAAAAACAACAGCTTTAATGTACAGATACAACTGGAGGTACAAAATACTTAACACAGTGTAACGGATATTTTTACAGTGTTAAGTAAACGGTAAGATTTCTTAAACCCATGCACATTCAGAATCATTTGGGAATTTTAGAAAAAAGAATTTTTAAGTTTTTTATAAGACGTTCCTAAAAATAGTTATCGATGTTCATATATTACATAGGTAGAATAGACCTTAAAGCGCGCTACTATAATTAACTTGCACTCCATGCCCTGCGATGCTAATTTTTTTTTATAAAATATAAGTAAATCATAAAAATATCTTTTTTAAACTACAAGATCATATCCTCGTTTTATAAACAGATTGAAAATATTGATTCACACCTTCAGAGGCTGTAGAACGTCGCAGGAGGGCATAGCACAACGTACGCAGGAGGGAGCCGCCCAACGTACGCAGGAGAGCATCGCAGAACGTACGCAGGAGGGAGCCGCAGAACGTACGCAGGAGGGCATCGCAGAACGTACGCAGGGGGGACCAGCACAACGTACGCAGGAGGGACCAGCACAACGTACGCAGGAGGGACCAGCACAACGTACGCAGGAGGGCACAACAGAACGTACGCAGGAGGGAGCCGCCCAACTTACGCAGGAGAGCATCGCAGAACGTACGCAGGAGGGAGCCGCAGAACGTACGCAGGAGGGCATCGCAGAACGTACGCAGGGGGGACCAGCACAACGTACGCAGGGGGGACCAGCACAACGTACGCAGGAGGGACCAGCACAACGTACGCAGGAGGGACCAGCACAACGTACGCAGGAGGGACCCGCACAACGTACACTTGAGGGCACAAAAGAATGTACGCAGGAGGGACCAGCACAACGTACGCAGGAGGGACCCGCAGAACGTACGCAGGAGGGACCCGCACAACGTACACTTGAGGGCACAACAGAATGTACGCAGGAGGGACCAGCACAACGTACGCAGGAGGGACCAGCACAACGTACGCAGGAGGGCACAACAGAACGTACGCAGGAGGGAGCCTTATCTCCGAGGTTGCCAGACGATAGCTCAGGACCTCACTAGACGGTGTTTATGGACACCCCAGCCATAAAGATAGCGCACGTATTATCTATATATCTGTCCCTGATGCAAGGTTAAGATATCTGTCCCCATAAAGATATAGGGATTCGAATAAAACACTTTAATACTTCTTGCTGCAGTTTTATTACTTGGATAAATATATGCACGCATGCAAATATCGCACAAATTAATCTATATTGCAATTTTAAAAATATTTATATATCTTTATATCTATCCAGACATCCAGCCAAACCACTAAAGCATTACACCAACCCACCCAAGGTCCAGTTTAACCGTTACACCACCCAAGGTCCAGTTTAACCATTACATCAACCCACCCAAGGTCCAGTTTAACCATTACATCAACCCACCCAAGGTCCAGTTTAACCGTTACATCAACCCACCCAAGGTCCAGTTCAACCATTACACCACACCACCCAAGGTCCAGTTTAACCGTTACACCAACCCACCCAAGGTCCATTTCAACCATTACACCACCCAAGGTCCAGTTCAACCATTACACCAACCCACCCAAGGTCCAGTTTAACCATTACATCAACCCACCCAAGGTCCAGTTCAACCGTTACACCAACCCAAGGTCCAGTTTAACCATTACATCAACCCACCCAAGGTCCAGTTTAACCATTACACCAACCCACCCAAGGTCCAGTTTAACCGTTACACCACCCAAGGTCCAGTTTAACCATTACATCAACCCACCCAAGGTCCAGTTTAACCGTTACACCAACCCACCCAAGGTCCAGTTCAACCATTACGTCATCCCCCCCCCCCCCCAAGTCCGGTTCAACCGTTACACCAACCCACCTTCATGCAAGCAGCCCACACCTCCGACTAGTTTTACACCAATAGCACTACAAGCCCCGCTACTCTCCCCTTCCCCTACGTACTCAGTCCGTCGACTAAAATACTTGTTTATTTATGACACTTGAGTTTACTTAAAAAAAAATCATTTAAAACTTTTTTAATATTCACGTGTGCCCCCCCCCCCCCCCTCCCGCCCTCTCATAGAATCATACCTTGGCATCCAAGAACCGCCTCAAGAGAAACCGTATAAAAATACCATCGGGAAATACCGATTTTTAGATTGGTTCAGAGCGGTGCAAAGTTCACATATTTTCAAGACACTTTCTGCGCGAGTAGAATTTTATTTCGACGTCGTAACGGCAGGTATGGCAAAAGGTGGGACTAAATTTTATACACGTGAGTGTAAACATGATGTTTGTAGATGGATTCTTTACTAAGCTTCCTAAACAACCAATAAAAATCAAAGATTAGATGTAAACAAAAAAAACGATAAAACAGACAAACAACAGACTCTTTTTTAACAACACCTATTACAATATATTCCATTGTAGGCAAACTCAAATAGACAAAAATAGAATCTCTAATACGACTATAATAACAACGTAAGTGAAGTTATCCCCCCCCCCCCCCAATTTTAATCTTATCAGGCGAATACCGATAAAAATACCGATAAAGTGAATTCAAATTGATATCAAAATTTACCCCGTGAAGCTAAAATTACCCCCTCCACCTACTTCAGCCCCCCCTCTCTTACTGCTAATATATAAACCCCAGGTAAATCGGTACATATGTGACGTCATACACTCATCTGATGACCTGACCTCTAGTAGGGAAGTCACGTGGCTCACTGATAGACATATTGAGTCAACTGGCTAGCTACATGTTCAGATCCCAAGTACTAACACACGCAGTTTGACCATTACATTTGACCTCGTATATTTACGTACATGAGATTTGACCATTACCTACGTTGTTGTCAACTTCGACGCACCTGTTATATCAAAGTAACGTGGTG